CCCCAGTGCGGCAAGACGTCCTCGAGCCACGCCTCGGTGAACGACGTGCGGAGCTTCGGGAGCCGGCCCGCCTTGCGCTCGTCACGCCGCTCCTTGGTCGTCGACGCGAGGAAGCGCCGGCGCAGGGACTCGGGAATGCCGCTGCGCACCGAGAGCGGCTCGGACTCGCTTGGCTTGCGCTCAATCGTGTTGAGCGAGGCCTCGCTCGTCGTGTCGGCGCCAACGCTCACTACGTGGCCGTTCTGGATGAGCAACATGCGAAGATTGCTTGGAACAGCGTACACGAGTCCTTGCAGTTCTTGATGAGGTGCACCCACTTGGCGCGGTCCGCCTCGGTCGGCGCGCTCACGTAGAGCCGCAGCTTCTTGTAGCGGAGCTCGAGCACAAAGTTGTGGTCGTGGACGACGAGGTTCTGGTCCGTGAGCTACGAGCCGCCATGAGCGCGGGCATTAGCGATAGAGGGCCGTACGGCGTCGAGGTGCTGGAGCGCGTACGTCGCCTTGGGCTTGCGCCCCGACTTTTTACTGTAGAGCAGCGCCGTCTACGCGTTGTGAGGCCCCATCCTCCTGCGTCGTCGTACCGTCGTGAGCACAAAGTACCGAATCTTCCATAGCTTCAAGTGCTGGCTCTGGACAGGCGCGCATGAGGCTGAGAGTCGTCGTATGAGCGCGTACCTGCTTGTGGAGGTAGCCTTCGTGCACGACGCAGGCCGCCATCCCGACTCGTTCTGTGCTTAAGCCCGTTGCTGGAACGCGTGCGTAACGGGTATGGCGCCCACGTTTCCCACGTGAAAATCACACGAGCTATTCTGGCCAGTGTACTGGCACCATGGATCGGGCGCAGCACACCTAAGCGAGTCGCCTGCGAGAGTATGCAGAGCAGCGCCCATACATCTTGTCTAGCGATCTCAAAAGTGCAAACTCGGTTTCGCTGGCGTGCTGCCACGTCAGAATGGACGTTGGTCTGCGTCCAGTGGCGCGTGTGTAATCGCGTATTTCCCACGGTGGGATTTCAACCTTGAGGGCCTTTTTTGCGCAGTTTGCAACTAACAACTTATTGCGCGATGGGGTGCGTCGAGTCGACAGCCGCGCTGCAGCCGCCGCCGGGCGAGAGCCACCGGTCGTCGTTGGTGCTGCCGCCGCGCCGAGCGTCGGTGGCCAAGAGCGTCGCGAGCAGCATGACCGTCGCGGCGCCGACCACCGAGCCCGAGGCGGTCGTGCTCGAGGCGCCGGTCGAAGCCATCGCCTCCGAGCCCTTTGGCATTGGCTTCGAGCAGCAGTATACGCTCGGCAAGGTCATTGGCGCGGGAACCTTCTCGACTGTGAAGGAAGCCATCCACAAACCAACGGGCCAAAAGTATGCGATCAAGTGCATCAAGAAGGCAGGTCTGACGGTCGACGAGATCCAGGCGCTGACGACCGAGGTCGTCATCCTCAAGCAGGCGTGCACCAAGCCATTCCTCTCATATATATCTACTACAGATGAAGCACCCGAACATCATGATCCTCCACGATTTCTTCTCCGAGCCCGAGTACTACTACCTCGTGACCGAGCTCATGGACGGCGGCGAGCTCTTTGACCGGATCGTCGAGAAGGTAATGAATGGCATCTCCATGGCCACGTCGGCTAACATCGCCTTTTTATCTAGTCGTACTACACGGAGCGCGAGGCGCGCGATCTCGTCAAGCTCCTGCTCGAAGCCGTGCGGTACTGCCACGACATCAACGTGGTCCATCGCGACCTCAAGGTACGACCGCCTCGATTACCTCTCATCCCCAACTCGAGTCTGTAGCCCGAGAACCTCCTCCTCACGTCGACGACGGACGACGCGTCGATCAAGCTTGCCGACTTTGGCTTTGCGAAAAAGGTCGGGAGCGACACGGAGGGCTTGACGACTGCGTGCGGCACCCCGGGGTACGTGGCGCCCGAGATCCTCGAGGCCGGTCCATACGGCAAGGCGGTGGACATTTGGTCGATTGGTGTCATCACGTACATCCTTCTGTGCGGGTACCCGCCCTTCCACGACGACAACCACAACGCGCTCTTCCGCAAGATCAAGCGCGGCGCGTTTGTCTTTGACTCGCCGTACTGGGACGCCATCTCGGACGACGCCAAAGACTTCATTTCGAGAATGCTCACGGTGCGCCCGACCGACCGGTAAACACGAGCTTCGATGGGCCGGCGTCAGCAGGAGTATGCTTCTAGGGCGACGGCGGCCATGCTATTGGAGCATCCGTGGATCGTCGGCAGCGAGGTAGGACCACGTGATGCTGGTGCTGGAGAGAGACGATGCGCGTGTTGTGGGTGTAGACGTCGACGGTGCAACTAAGCAGCGCGCTCGATGAACTGCGCCGGTTCAACGCCCGGCGAAAGCTCAAGGCAGCCATGAACGCCGTCAAGGCCACGCAGCGCCTCGTACGCGCGGTGGAGACCCCCTGAGCTCCGCTGTTTCTTGTACGCTACCCGTCTTTCCTTTTAGCTAGTCCTTTTTCCTAAAAAACCCAGTTTTCCGCCTTGACATGTATACGAGGAGAAATCTATCAGGTTAGGGTCCGCTCAGTACAGCGCGACCGAGAGCTTGTTGGCGGCAATGCGCGGGAGGAGCGACTCGCGAATGCAGTCGATCGTGTCCTTGGACGTATCCTTGAGCTCGAGCAACGACATGTTCTTCGAGTCCCTACGCCATCTCCAGATTCAGATTCAGATTCACGTTGCCTCATGGCGTACAGGTGCATGTCGAGCACGACGTGCGACGTGCATTCGAGCGAGAGCGCCTTCATCTCCAAGAGCGTCTTTATCCGGCCGGGCGTCCCGATCGCGATCGGGTGGAAGCGCTTGAGCATTTCGACCTGCTCCTCGAGCTTCAAATGCTTGGCAAAGAGCTTGGCGACGTGGCACTTGAAGCTCGCAATGGCCCTACGATGCGAGCAAGATGCATATCCCGTGCCTACGATCACGAGCCGTCGTACTTGCCAATCTCGACCGCTCGCAGCGCGGACGAGCAGACGATGAGGAGCAGCGGGCTGCGCTTGTCCTTGATGCCCTTGCCGCGGAAGAGGAACTTCCACTCGGGGCAGAGCGCGCGGAGGAAGCGCGTGTAGCTCTCGAGCGTGTGCTTGCCAAACTGCTTGAGCACCGTAAAGTGGCTCTCTACAGTGCATGTATGAGTGGGTGCTGCCGTAGCGAGAGCAACGGACCCGTGAGGCCGTCGGCGATTTCAGCCGGCGTGAGGCTGTCGCCATAGTGCTTCATGTACACATCGTTGACGATCTTGAAGTGGTCGGCCTGCGTCAGGTTGTGCAGCGCCTTCTTGGGCTTCTGGGCCTTGGGCTTCTTGGGCTCCTTGGCCGCCGGCTCGGCCTCGGCCTTGCGCTTCTTGGATTCCGGCTGCTTGGTCTCTTCGACGGCCGCGTCGTCGTCGCCGCCATCATCGTCGTCTTCGACCTCGACGTCGGAGGCGTCGCTGGCGACGGCCACGTCTTCCGCGGCCCAGTTCATCTCGAGCTCATCGTCGTTCTGGCGGGCCATCTTAGTCCGTTTTTTGATTTTGAGTTTGGCACTCGCAGCACGGCCCGAGTTGATTGGCTCCCAACTCGGCCATTTTAAATCGGCACATGGCGTCTTGGATTCGGCATTCTCTCTTTTTACATTCGGCACAATTGCCGCCACAGCACGTAGACACGTCAAGACAAGGGCCGAGAGGATCAAACGACCGTGCGCTCGCTTCGTGCAGGAGATGCGAACACCCCGCTTGTCCCGTTGACCCGTTGGCATCTCTCCACGCGACGCTCCTTCCCTCGCGATCTTAAATGTGGCATATGCCGCCACCAAGTGAAAAGCGCACTTAGGCGGACCTCCAGCCAAAACCGACCTGACTGCCAGATCTTTGAGTCCTCCAAGATGGCCGAGACGTGGGCGTTCTACTACCTCCAGGCCGAGGACGGCGAGGACCGGTCGCACCCGAACGCGTTCCGCATCCCCAAGACGGGCGAGCTCACGCTTGGCGACGTCCATGCCCACTTCCCCCTCGGGGCGCCAGCCGGTTTCCACTTCCGCTTCCGCCTCAACCACGGCGAGACCTTTTACTGGATCGACGTCACGGCGCCGACGGCGTCGGTTCCGCTCGTCAACGGCCGCGTCATCTGCAAGGTGCTGCGCCACGCGCGCCCCATCAAGAAGGGCCTCGTCCTGCAGCGCAAGCCTGTGTACAGCATGGCGACGGACCAAACCAAGCCCCGCGGCGACGTGAAGCGGCCAACCAAGTACTCGGACGAGCCCAAGCCTACGGCGCGCCCGGCCTCGGCGCCCCCGAAACAAGAGGTCAAGCCCAAGGAGAGTAGCGAGTCATTTGAGGACTTTTTGGCCGGCGCGCCCAAGCCTGCGCCGGCAGCGCCGGTCGACCTCATGGGCGGTGGCACGACATGGACAGCTCCCAAGGCGGCTACCAAGGCGACGCCAACGCGACGACCGAGCCCGCCGCCTGTAGCAGCATCCGCGCCGCCGAAAGACTTTAACGACGACTGCGGCCAGACCGTCGGTCCTGTCACGCTCGCCGATATGGCCAAGCACGAGGTGTCGGCCGATGGCACCAACGTGTACAACCCGGACCTCGTCGACAAGTCGACCAAGTCTGCGGACGTGCGGGAGGCGATGGAGCAGCGCGAGCAGCAGAAGGCTGCCGACATTGAGCGCGCTCGACTAGACCTCCTGGCGCGCGACCAGGCCAAGACGCAGCTCGAGGCCGCCAAGGCCACGGCCGTCGTCGCGCTCGGGCCCAAGCTCAAGAACTGGGCCGAGGACAATGGGCGGAAGAAGAACATCCGGACGCTCATCTCGACGATGCATCAGATCCTGTGGCCGGACGCCAAGTGGACCGAAGTCAACATGGGCAAGCTCCTCACGCCCAACGACGTCAAGAAGCAGTACCGGCGCGCGATCATGGTCGTGCACCCGGACAAGGCCGGGGGTCGCACGGCCGAGCAGCTCGTCATCGCCGAGCGCATCTTCGATGCTGTCAACAGTGCACGGGACGAGTTTGCGCGCACGGAAATGAAATAAGACGCCACTTGCAACTGTGTGTAGCTTGTCGTCTTCATGTGGCGGACAAAGAGTTTGGAACCTTTGGTAGAAATGGTGTTTCTCACGACCCTTTCAAGCTTGCAGCGTCGAGCCTAGTGCGCTGGCGAACGAATGGCCTCGGTCGTGGCGGCTAGCACGGCGTGGTCTTCCTCGTTCGACTCGAAGATCGGCGCCTCGGTGCTCCGCTGGAATCGCGATGTGGACGACGTCAATGGAAGGCACCGAGCGCCGTCGTCGTCCGGCAAGTCATCACTGTCACTCTCGTCATCGTCGTCGTCGTCGTCCAAGCTCTGTCGCGCCTGCTGTGCAATCTTTCGCTGGACCTTGTTCATGGCTTTCTTGATCTCGGTGACCATGCGGTTGATCTCGAGAAGCGCCATGGGCACCATATCGCTAGCCGGCACTGGCTCGGACGTTAATGACGCGAGACGCGACTCGTCCACGGTGTCGGATTCCGGTGGCGGTGGGAACCCTTGGTCCGACGGGGGGGCAAAGGGGGGGCCGGGGGGGGCTCACGGGGGGCGTGTCGAGTTGCTCCGTCACGTTCTTGCCGGACGGCGCCGGCTTGGGCGCAAAGCCACGCCGACTGAGAAGCTGGGTCACCGACGCCTTGCGCGCTTTGAGTCCTTGAACGATGGATTTCCGAGGTTTCGCCTCCGAGCGTTTGTTGCGGTCCTGGATCGCTTGGAGCTTGTCGGCCATGCGTTTGGAGTGGTAAATGCCCTTGAAGGACAAGTCAAAGCGCCGGCGCATGAGCGACTTGTCGACGAGGTGGTTGAGCTCCGTCTCGACCTTGAGCTTGGCCGTCGACGACTGAAAGTTCTATTTTGCGATTGAGATGGACATTGAGATCGGGCCGGATACAAACCATGTTGGCGAGCTGGCGCGCGACGACCGACTTTTTCATTTTGACGCCAAACTCGGGGTACTCGGCCAAAATCTCGTTGAATGCCTACGCCGACAACGCGTCGCGCCGCGAGGATCGAACCCCTGACGTACGTGCTTGCAGAGGACGTTGAGATCGCAGATCGAGTCGGCGACGACCGTATTCGTGCGACGGACTTCCGCGACGAGCGCCGTCTCGCCAAAGAAATCACCGTCTCGAAGGAGGATGCGGGGGCCGTCCTTGGTCGAGCGGAGCTTGTGCATGATCGGATGCAGCGCGCTCGTCTTGGCCCGCGGCGGCAGCACTTCGACGGTCCCCTTTCGGACGATAAACATTTCCCGGCCAATGTCATCTTGATGGATAATCACGTCTACACACAATTGTAGAAATAGTCTTCATATAAGCGGTTGATGCGGTTGATACCGGCGGGGAGGTACACAGCTGTGTCCAGCGCCATGCACACTTTGCCGAGGAAGCGCGCGTTCGAACCCGCAAAGATTGGCACCGTGTTGAGCAAGTCCTTGTACAAGTGCAGCGCAATCGTTGTGCGCAGCGGCTTGGACAAGCCCGGTTGGTTGAGCAGCGTCATGTCCGCGTACGCGCGTTGCTAGCGTTGATTTTGAGATAGATCGATCGATAGATGTACGTTGATCCAT